ACCAGAAGCCTGGGAGCCACCTCTGACCCTTCCTGTCCCTCGCATAGGGCATCTGCTCAGTGGCCAAGTCCAGGGTTGATCTCCTGTCCATGTCCCTCAGGCCCCTCCTAGCTGCTGTCTTCCTCACATCTCATCTCCCTACGGGGACCAAGGACCCTCCACCTGACTCCCTCCGCCCCTTGGTCCCCACCTCCTTGCCCACCCTCCCAGCCTTTCTCCACAGCCCCTCCTGGCCAAGACACTTGCCTGGTTTCCTGCAGCCTCGGCTCGGCCCCCCAGGCACCATCTTTCCTCTCATGTCTCCCCACGCCCGGCCTTCTCTCTCCTTACCTCCGGCCCCACGGACTGGGCTCCCTGCCGCCACCAGGCAGTTTCCTCCCAGCCTCTACTGCCCTTCAGCCTGGCAAGCCACCCCTCCCCTCATTGGTTCTTTAAGCTACATGGTGTTCGGGCCCCATCTTGATGCTCCCAGATGTGGGGTGCTTGCTGCACCCACACATTGAGTCATTACTGCCTGCTTAGGTGTCTCTGCAGAGGGCCTGAGCGCCTGGAGCGCAGGGCGCCTGGGGGGTGGGAGGAAGTGGGGAGGGGCGGGCTCTGGCTTTTGAGAAACTGATTCTGGAAAAGGACCTGGAGTGCGTGTCTGGGGAGGGGGAAAGGGGCTCAGATAACTGCTCCGTGGTCCTGTGGGCCCAGAAAGGCCATAGGCAACCTCGGCCGCAGGGTGTGGGGTGTCCCTGGGGGAGTCGGGAGAAGGTCCGAGGGACTGCATGGGCCGGGGTATGTGGGAGGTCTTTGGGGACGCCTGGGGTCCACCTGTGGGGCTCCTGGGGACAGGGCAGGCAGGGCCAGTGGGTTGAAGGCTGCTCTGCCCCCAGAGGTCCTGTCGAGTCGCATGGAAGGGATGATGGCCTCCTACACGCCTCTGGCGCCTCCGCAGCAGCAGATCGTGGCCATGGAGCAGAGCCCCTATGGCAGCAGTGACCCCTTCCAGCAGGGCCTCACGCCACCCCAAATGCCAGGTGACCACATGAACCCCTATGGTAAGCTGCCCCCCCGCCCCAGCATCACCCCTGCTCCCTGCCTGGTCTGGCAGGCCTGGGGCCACCTCCAACCCCAGCGCCTGCACAGCCCACCAGCCTCTTCCCAACAGGAAGGGGACACCCCGACACCCTTCCTTCGGTGCCAGCCCCTCTAGTCAGGCGCTGCGGACAGGTCATCCTGTGCCTCCCTCGCCTCCAGCCACACAGCCCGTAGGGCCAACGGGGTCCCCAGGGGCCTCAGCCCACGCTCCCGTCCTGATGTCCCCTCTGCCCCCCAGGGAACGACTCCATCTTCCACGACATCGACAGCGATACCTCCTTAACCAGCCTCAGCGACTGCTTCCTGGGCTCCTCCGACGTGGGCTCCCTTCAGGCCCGCGTAGGGAACCCCATCGACCGGCTCTACTCCATGCAAAGTTCCTACTTCGCCTCCTGAGAGCCAGCTGGCCGCATGGACACTTGGGCTAGGGTCCTGGGGTGGGGCCGCAGGCCACAGCGGCCAGCCTCGCCACCCCGGCCCCGCTGCCCGCATAGACTCTACAGACAGCCATACGGTGCCCTCCCCTCGGCCAGCCAGGCCTGGCTAGAGTGCCCACTGGGCACAGCCGGACAGGCAGATGAGCACAGCCTGGACAGGGGCTGTGTCCTGCCCACAGAGACCCTGTCACCCCCAGGAACCCAGAGCTCTCGGACAGCCACTCTCCTCCTAGCCCCACCTCGGCCTCCATTGCCTCCTCTGTCCCCATCTTTTTTGGGAAGCTTAAATTCTCTCTATTTTTTTAAACATCCTCTCTGTGTCCAGCCAAGCTTCACAGCCCAGGCTGAGGCCGAGGCAGGGCCCCGTGCGTGCCCCAGGACGATGTGTGTGCAGGGCCTATTACCTGTGAGAAGCGTGGGTACCTGTACCCTGTGCTGGTGCCCACCTCCCCCACCTCCACAGGCAGGCCTGCCAGCCGAGGATCACCCCTCAAAGCAGCCAGAGCCTGGAGTAATGGTGGGGAAGAGCCTGCCAGGTGCCAGGCCCACGGTGGCTCTGCCCTGAGGGGGAGTCACTGGGGAGGGTAGCCAGAGCCAGGCAGACCTGAGGGGACAGACACACATGTGCGGGTGCACACACACTTAAAGGCACACTTACTGCAGATATGCACAGAGATATAGAGACACTGAGAGAGATGGAGAGGCCTCTGTGGAGCAGCTCTGCTGGGTCAGGAAGGGGAAGGAGGCCAGACTGGGAAGGAAGCCCTCTTACAGTGATGGGAGAGGAAGGAGGGAGGGAAGGGAGGAGGGGAGAGGGTAGGGTGAGCTTGAAGCAGGTGGCCTCAGATGTATCCCAGGGCTGCCCGAGCAGGCAGGGCAGCCACCAACCAGCTCCAAGGGCAGAGACACAGTGCTCAGAACCAGGCAGAGTTGGGCAAAATGGCAGAGCCTCCAAGTGGAAAGGGACCTCACAAGTCACCCACTTGGCACTGCATCTTATGTTTGGCTCCTCAAGCCACCTCTGCCTCTTGTGGCATACCTCCTGTGACAAGGAGCCCACTGCTTCCTCAGGCACCCAAGTCAGCTGCCCTTTTCTGCTGATTTTACCTCTGCCTTTTTCAGCCCTGAGTCCTTGCTTCTCAAAGCCAGGCTTTTCCAGTTTCTTCAGCTCTTCCTCTTAAAACTGTACTCACAGCTGGGCTCCAGCTTTCCCTCTAAAGGCGTGGAGTACGTATAACCCAATCTTCCCACTGACATCAACCAGCCAAAGTGAGCAAGCCCATCACCTCCCCAGCTTTAGGTGCCCTGCTTCTGTTAATGTGGCCCAAGATCTAGTTAATGGTTTAGATCACATCACCTTGGGAACTCACCCCACCCTTCTGTAAGTGAATCCCCTAACCATCACACACGTGACAGCTAAGCCACATTTCTGTGGGGGGGCGGGGTGGGGGGGGGATA